CAGTGCAGCATTTTATGGAGAAAAGAAATCCTACCAGGAAAAGTTTTCTTTCAAGTGTTACTCTTGTGGTTTACGTGGGCACAAGAAATCTGAATGTTCCACAAGGAAAAATGAAACCAAGAAAGTAAACACAAAAGTTAACATAGCTGAAAAAGAAGAGGAAGTATCGTTTATCACATGTCTGTCCAATGAAAAAATGGAAAGTAAGGAAAATTCAATAAAGTTTGTGGTGGATTCAGGCTGTACAAACCATTTAGTAATGAGTGAATATGAGAAGTTTTTGACCAATAAAAAGCAAGTAAATCACTCAATAAAAGTGGCAAAAGAAGGACACTGTGTAGAAGCAAATGTAGTGGGAACCTTACATTTGGAAACTGAAAGTGGACTGAAAGGCAGGCTGGAAAATATCCTGGTATGTAATAATCTTACCCACAATTTACTTTCAGTGAAGAAAATTGGAAATAAAGGCATGAAAATAATTTTTGAGAGTGGCAGACTACTGTGATGAAAAGTAATGAAAATGTGCTAGTATCAGGGCAGCTACAGGGTGGTCTGTATGTAGTAGATTTTCATATAGTAACCTGTTATGCAAATATTACATCTGCTGAAGAAAAAGACTTATGGCATAGACGGATGGGTCATTCATCATATTTTTCATCAAAAAAGGTCTGTGAAATCTGCCTTCGAGGGAAACAAACTAGGAAACCATTCAACAGTTTACCTGATGAAAGAAAGGCTAAGAATATTCTAGAATGTATTTCCAGTGATGTTTGTGGACCTTTGAACCCAGTAAGTCACAATGATAAGAGATATTTCATCACTTTTATTGATCACTACTCTCATTTTGCAATTATTTATTTCATGAAAAATAAAAGTGAAGCTTTTGAAAAGTTCAGAGAGTATTTAGCTCTTGTTGAAAATAAAGTTAAGACCTTGCCAGAAAGATTGAGGTGCGACAATGGTGGGGAATATGTATCCCATCAATTTGAAAATTTTTGTATCCAAAAAGGTATAAAAATTGAATACACCATACCTCGTACTCCAGAAAATAACGGCGTGGCAGGAAAATACAATAGAACCCTATTAGATGATGCTCGTTGACTAATTATTGAAGCAAAGATGGAGAAGTCCTTTTGGGAAGAAGCTATAGGTGTGTCAGCATATTTGGCAAACCTTACCCCATCTTCTACATCACCAGATAAGAAAACTCTTGCTGAGATATGGTACAAACAAAAACCTAACTTGTCAAAAATAAAGGTTTTTGGATGTACAAGTTATGTACATGTACCCACTGAAGATCGATACAACAAATTAGATCCCAGAAGTCAGAAAATGTTTTTGGTAGGTTACACCGACAATGGTTATCGTCTGTGGAATCCAAACGACTGGAAGGTAATCTCAGCAAGAAATGTTGTATTTGATGAGACCAAATTTGAAAATCAGACAAGAACAGAAGAATATAAAGAAATAAGTTGCCAAGAAGACATTTCAGAGGAAGGTGACACTGACAGTAGTGATGAGTTTCACTCTAACAGAGAAAGTATGAATAACTTGAGTGACAATGAAGTTTTTGAGCAACAGAATGATGAAAGACAGAGACCAAGAAGACATATGACAAGACCAACAAGATTCAATGATTATGTAGTTGATTTTGAGCATAATAAAGGTTTGATGGCACTATTGGCAAGTGATCTTGATACTGACATATTCAGACTTATTCAGAAGCAATTTCAAAGGGAAGTGGCTGGATTGAAACAATCAAAAGTGAGCTGGATGCTTTGGATAAGAGTGAAACTTGGGAAATAATCAAGAGACCTTAGGGTGTGAAAGTGATAGATTCCAGATGGGTGTTTAGAGAGAAAGAATGTCAAAATGGTGAAGTAATAAAAAAGGCAAGACTAGTGGCTCGCGGATTTCTACAGGGTGAGAGTGATTGTTTCGAAATATACTCACCAGTGGCACGCATGCTCTCTATCCGAGTGCTTTTGCCATTCTGTATTGAAAAATGTCTTTTTGTCAATCAATTAGATGTTAAATGTGCATTTTTGAACGGAGACTTACCTAAACCAGTTTATATAGAAATTCCTGATGGTGTGGAAGTAAAATGTCAGCCAAAAAATGAATATGTTTGTAAACTCAAAAAGGCACTGTATGGTTTACGTGAGGCACCTCAGTGTTGGTATCAGAAATTACATTTTTATTTAATTAGTTTAAATTTTCAGAGATCCCAATCGGATCCATGCTTGTATTTTGACAAAATTATTTGCTTGATTGTATTCTTGATGTATATCATGCTAGGAACAAGACCTGATCTGAGTTATTCGATTTATTATTTTAGTCGTTTTCAATACTGTTACACATATGAACATTGGTCATACTCAAAGAACGTCTTAAGATATTTGAAGCTAACTGAAAATTTTCGTATTAAATATGAGAAATCAATAACTCAGAATTGTCAAATAATTAGTGCATATGCAGATTCAGATTATGCAAATGATCTAAATGAAAGCATTTCAGGCTATGGAATACAAATTTTTGATAATTTTGTCTTTTGGAAATCAAAGAAGCAGGCTACAGTTTCACTTAGTAGTTCAGAAGCTGAATACATAGCCTTATCAAATTGTACAACAGAATGTATTTTCGTAGGACAATTGCTTTCAGAAATTTTGAATAAAAATGTTTTTCCTGTCAATGTCTATGAGGATAATCAGTCCTGCATAAAAATGTCCAATACATTGGAAACTAAGCGCAGTAAACATATAGATGTTGAGCATCATTTTGTTAGGCAGTGTGTGTCTGTTAAAAAAATCAAATTGTTCTATATTCCAACTTCCGAACAGGTGGCCGATATTTTCACCAAGTCATTAGCGGCACCTAAATTGAAATTTTTCAGGGAAATGTTAGGCATCTGTGCTAAGGACAATAATTAATCATGGTCATGTGCTTTTATGATTTAATGAGTTTTTATAAGTACTTAGAATATAAGTTTTGATGCTGTTTTGTTATAATGAATACAAGGTTGAAGTTGTTAGTAGCTATATAAGAATTGAGGGGGTGTGTTGAATATATAGTTTAACTTACAGCAACGAAGTAATTCTCATTTTGGAAGAACCCCTCATTACTGTACTGTACTTTGATATTACATCTTGTGTTCTGTGACCTATGGTTCTATGATGACAGTAGACAGATGTCATTAGCTAGTTGATTTTGATGTTCCGTTGTGCGGACCCAGCAGAGTCGCTAATGAATGTATGTAAAGCATTATCTTTTGAGCCTTTATAATACAAATACAACCATTTAATTATCAAAGTGTTTCAATAATGAATCTGCAAAGTCTTCAGATTCCTTGTTGAGATGAAAACAATCTTCAACTACAGATGAATGTAAGGTTCACTCACATTTATCGACTTGTTTCATATTATCGAATCCTACCCAGCATCAACTTTTAATTATTTTTTTCAAGGTTAGGTCGTGCTAGGAAAACAATTGAGAATGCTCTTGGAATTTCATCAACAAGATGGCGCGTTTTGCGAAAACCTATCGTAGCAAGTTTAGAAACTGCTGAAAAAATAACATTGGCAACAATTGCCCTGCACAATTGGCTAATATCTGAGAGCAATAGCTATGACCCTAATTTCAATGAACTCACTACTAGAGATGAACAAATGGTGAGATACCATTTCAGTGGGAAAGGCAGTACAATCACTGATGAATTAATAATGAATACTTGATTATAGAAATCAGAATATAAAGAGTTCTCCAGTTTGTCAGAACTTTTGAATGTAATAACAGCAATACTGCAAGATATATGCAGATAAAACGTGACAGCTATATTTGTCAGTAGTGGGCAATTAGTCATGGAGAAGTATACAGTTCAACAGTGAGTAAAAATTATTCATTTTGTATTCATTACCAAAAATGAGTATTATTGCAGGAAAGATTTCCTGGACACATAATTTCAAGGAATGCTGATGTAAATTGGCCAGCACCCCTTAACTATTTTCTGAAGTTATTTTCATTATTGTTAAATCTCTAGTCTACAGAAATAGGCCTTGAACAATTCATGACCTTAAACATTCAACGCACCATGGAAGAAATTCCCCATGATATGTGTCAAGAAGTTATTGAAAATTGAACCACCAGGATACAGGAAACTAGACGAAGTCAAGGTGGACATTTGAGCAACATGATTTTTAAACATATTGTTAGGTAGCTCTTCAAAATGAGATGGAAATTACTATATTATCACTTGTTGTTTTCCTTGTGTGAAATTTGAAAGTTTCCCGTTTCATAACTTCAGGTGTTTCTGTTTCATAATATACATGTATGTTCGTACGTCTGTATAATTTCATTTATCTGATTAGATCATTGTTTCAATGAAGGTAGCAAGTTGAAATGAAATTTCTGAAAAGAATTATAGAATTTTATTTTCCCCCAAAAAAATTCAAAACATCCCAGTGGAATTCAATTTTTCTTTAATAGATATACCAAATACACAAACTACAAGATGAGTGAGTGAAAATATCTTACTTTTTTAAGAACCATAACTAGTTGATAATTCTCCATACAAAGAGAAACAAATCAAGTGCTACCATCATGCTGCTACTTATGAAATGAAATAAACTCATTTATGAAAACGGACAAAGCAGTTCAACTAAAAATATTTGTACTGAAATTATCCCAAAACTCACGTACAAAAATATCTATAGGAAACATGAAGTGGATGACTATTCCTCAACAAATGATATTATTAGAAGAAAAAAACGAAGATTCCTTATTTTGGAAACTTTCTGCTAAATGATAAATTCAACAGTTCAATTTTCAGTTCAACTCTATCTTTTGAAACCATGTCTTGAAGTGAATTAAAAATTTCCATACAAATCGAGTTTACTGGAAAATCTACAGGAGTTGGAGCTGGAACTACTACTGATGTGGCTTTTATTGCCTTCAATATCTCTTCATCAATGTTTCTCTTTCTTCTTTTAGAAAAATCCAAATTTTTAGAATGTGTTTTCTTGGGTCATGACTCCAGTATTATTTTCTTCCGAAGTGGAGATTGTTGGACGAGGAATATTATTGTCTGACAAAAATTTCAACAAATGAAAATATTTCCATGTTGGTTTATTGGCTTTTGCTCCATTTCCGCTTGGTACATACTCCTCCTCATTGTGGATGCGGAAGTATCTATCCCTCAGAGACTTCCATTTCTTTTGGATGAGTTCCAATGTCCAATCATTGTTCAATTCAGCTTTTATTTCCACCCACAATTTGTCCCTTACCGTTTTAGATCTTTCAGTGAGTGGCATTTTGTGGTCCCACAGTGGCCTCCTGTCTGCCACTGAAGCTATCAGGATTTCTTCTATGCATCTGTCATCATCGTTTTCTTCTTGGACAGATGTACTTCCACAAGTTGTTTCATCTTCGGCTAGTTCGGCTTGGAATTCTTCATCCTGGAAACATGAATGTACACTTATTTCAGCATCAGTGATGATTTCAGTGGACATTCCACAGTGATACTGTAATTATTTAACAATCATTAGACCATTCTCAACAATAAGAATAAATAAACTCACACTTAGAACGTCCTCATTATCCATAGTTCCTGCTCGTATTTACTTCAATAAAATTCGAAACTATTGAGTTTTTCAAGACATAACCTCAATTCAACCGCAAACAACAGCCCAAAATCAAATATAAATGACATAACACCTAGCAGCAACGACAGAAAGTTAAAATATTTTAACTTCATCGCTTCAAATTATACTTGAATTCCGCGTCACCAATCAGAATGCGTGACGCGAATAGCAACAACGATGCATTAGGAACTCACCTCAAGTTGTTGAGGAACTTGGTGTTTCCCGGCGCACCAAAAGACAAGACATTCAACGACTTGACGGCGCTACTGAAAGATCGGTACTGCCCGCGAATCTCAATTCACCGAGAGAGGTGAAGGTTTTTCGAAAGCACACAGAATGAAATGGAGTCCATAAATGAATGGTACGTTCGACTCAGGAAGATGGCTGTAAATTGTAAGTTCGAGACCAGGCTAAACAACGTATTGGCAGATACATTCATGTCTGGAATGAAGATGGGAGAAATCTATGACAGGTTATGTGAAGAGTCCGAAAACGCAACAATTCAAGAACACTTGGCCCTAGCAATGCAGCGAGAATCCATTGGAAATGGTAGTGGTAAATATGGCGGCTGCGGCAGTAGAGGTGACGTAGGCCAACGTCACAACCATGACCGCATTGACCGCATTGACCACAGGTTCCAATCCCAATCCAATCACGGAAGAAGAAGTGGAGGCAGAGAGCAAGAAGAGGAAGGATTCGGAGAGAGAAGAATGAGAAAAAGAGGAGTTGACTTTGACGGTCAGCAAGGCCAACAGCAACAAAGATGGTCGTTGGTCAATAACAATGTTGAAAACAAAAAGAATGTGTGGTTTGTGGTAAATAACACCAAAGTAAATGTATGAACAGAAATTACAAATGCAGGCAATGTAATGAGGTAGGACACTTGGAAAGAATGTGTAGAATTAGGAATCACCCTGTAGTGATTCTGTTCAGTCTATTTAGGCGACAAAAGGTGATGAAAGTTCAAAATGTATGGTTCGAAATTTCAAGCAAGTGAATTGTCAACGGAAATAATACATCATTCACGGTACCACTTTGATATATAATATTGAGGCTAAGAGCTATGTTTCGCATCGATAAGATAAACAATTTGAGTCGAGAACAGACTACTCAGTATGTGCATCATTGTATGGGCAATGAATTATGGGGTCGTTGAAAATATATACCAGAGATACGTTTTCAACTTGTCATCAGAAACTTGGGTGGGATCCGTATTGGAAATATATTGATGAGTTATCAAAATTGTCGAAAGAAAAAAAATCAAACCACACCTTTGGGGGCGGTATGGAAAAATAAGTTGCAAAATATTGATATAAGTGACAAATGGAAATTACGGTAGAAATTAATAACCAATTGCAGATCGGTAGGACGGGATTTTCTACTGTTTAGAGATGAACGACTTCAGGAGACGAAAGATAGGAATAAGGAACTTGGAGAGTCGATACCGGGACAGTCGAACAAAGAGTGGAAAGCGGGAACCGGGCGCGAGTGGGCGCTAGGCTCCCTTTCTGGGGCCCAGTGAGGTCCTCGGAACATTGCGGGTTTTCCGGGAATTTCGGGAGTGTCGGATTATTTTGTTTTGGGTTAGGGAGTGATTCTGGGTTCCTGGGAATAATGAATAACAATTCAAAGGGTATCAATTAACGTAGCGAGGCGCTGGCTTTCAAGGAAGCCATAATCCTAGGATTACATAGGCGCTGAGCGTCGGGACGCTGGGATTTCTGGACGTGGTGTTATTCAGGTATTCAATTGGGAACGTGCTGTTGGTCTCGGGTTGAAGTAATGGGCATTGAGAGTAAAGAATTGTAAAGAATGGGGCTTGTTTTAAGTTTTAGATTGGAAATAATGAGAATAGTTGGGTTATTAACTAGGGAGATTTTTAGGGTTATTTAGAGGCGGTATTTTAGTGTTCGTTCGATACGTTGTGACTGTTAAAGTGGAAAGTGGAACTTTGTATTATCAAAACGATCATCAGGTTTTCTAGGGGCGAATATTGAGGCGTCGCGGTTTCAGAATTGGTCACTCTGACTTTACCGTTGAGTGTTTGGGTTTTATCTGAAATTAAAAGCGTATTACAGGGTATTTTATATGGACAAGATTAGGAATTTGCGATTCTGCTTTAGATGTCGAGTAAAACCAGGTTTCTTTCATGTTTGTGTAGTTTCAGAGCGGTACAAAGAATGAGTTTGAAGGTAGGTTTCTGTCTTCCATAGTTTAAATAGGTTTTATAAGCGGAATAAGGAAGCGATAGAGAATCAGTTTCTGTTACACTTTTGTTTGGGTTTATAATCGGAATTGGGGAGAATTCATTAGTTTTCAGCGTTTTAAATTGAAATAGGCTTTAGTCGCGGAATAAGGGAGGAATCAATAGTTACCAGAATTCTAAATTGGAATAGGTTTCATATATGGAATTTGAGATAAATTTTGAGACAGGTTTTTACCGAATCATAAGAAGAAAGAATTCACGAATGCCAGAATTTTGGGTTCCCATAATTTGATTAACGAGAAATACCTAGGGTCGGTATTTCTCGGATTTTTGTCAATAGTGTAAGTTGAAAAGGTCAAATTTGTATAACCATTTTATTTCGATTGTTTCGCTCACTGAGCATTTTGTGGCATTTTTATTCGTTTTCCTTGTTCAATAGAGTTTATAATAATAATAATAATAATAATAATAATAATAATAATAATTATAATAATAATAATGATAATGATAAGGCAAGTATCGCAAATGGTTAAAACCCATGAAGAGGCAGGAGTAGGAGCTTTTCTTTTCAGGGCAGCACGTCGAGCAGCCAATGAATTGTCTCTGATTTTCGACTCCGAGCGCGAGGCTCAGGACTCAGTTACTGAGCTAGAACCCGCTCGGAGAAAAGCCCGCATCAAAGCTGCAGAAGTGAAAAAGCTCCTGCAGCTTCACATGGATAAGCCCATGCATTCGGTCTACTTCAAGACCATTGAAGACCGGGGCTTATCCAAAGAACTGACTTTTGCTTTTCTGAAGTCAGGCGGGCTCAAATCGGAAACAGAGGGGTTCATCATGGCATGCCAGGATGGGGTTTTCAACACTCTCGTCTACCGTAGCCGTGTCATGGGTATGGAGGTCCCTGACACAAGTTGCAGGGCCTGCCGCAGGGCGCCCGAGACAATTATGCACCTGCTGTCTTCTTGCACGGTGTATGCAGTCTCGGCCTATATCCATAGACACAATGCGGCATTGCGAGTGCTCTACTACTATTTGAGGCACTCGTACGGAATAGACGAGACCCCAGTGCTGCCCTATGCTCCGGGAGATATTGAGTCCGTTGTGGAGAATGAGAGGTGCCGAATTTATTGGAACTTCTCATTCCCCACCCTCAGGCAGATACAAGCTAACAAGCCTGATGTAGTCCTCCTCGACCATCAAACCAAAGCGATGTTCGTGATCGAGTTTTCGGCGCCAGCCGAAACGAACATCGTTTTGAAGGAGGAGGAAAAACGGACTGAATATCGAGATCTTCTCTTCGAACTCCGCCGGCTCTATCCAGACCATTCTGTGGAATTGGTCATCCTGATTATCGGCTCCCTAGGAGGCACACGACACACGCTGCTCTCGGAGATCCAGAAAATCCCAGCGTGCCGTGATAAGGCACACATCCTGGCTGGTGGAATGCAGAAGGCCGTCATACTAGGATCATTGCGTCTACTCAGGGCACACGGTACTTGGTCCCAGTGATTACTCACCTCACAGGCTGTGAGGAGTAGTCACTGGATTTTGTCCAGCACGACTCTGCGTGACGTCGGAGGCCGCAGGGTCGTGACTGGAATCATATAAACTCAAAAAATAATATTAATAATAATAATAATAATAATAATAATAATAATAATAATAATAATAATAATAATAATAATAATAATAATAATAATAATAATAAATCAGGAACCGCAGGAGCCTACTCAACATAAAGGCCCTGCGGCCCCAAGACCTTGCAAGAATGGATGAATCACTTCGAGGGACACTTCCGGAAGGGGCTGAAATCTGGCACATAAACTGTGCCGTGTATGACGTCGTTCGGTCCTCTCTACCGGAGAGACCCATACAAACGGTCTCTCCGACTGAGAGAGCCGATCGGCGTGTAAAAAAGATGGAAGCCAAGATCCAGTCGGCGAGACAACACACTTCCCGTATCCAGTGTGTGATGGATTATGTGAGTGCCAACAGGCCATTCACATCGAAGGTGCGACGGATGGCCAATACTTTGCGTCGCACCCATCACACACTAAATGAGGCAGTGCTATCCACCATCAAACAGCACTGCCTCGAAAGGATACGGATGTTAGTGGCTGCTAAACAGTCACTAAAGAGGCGAGCGAGAGGGCTGGCGGAAAATAAACAATTCCGCGAAAAGCCCTCTCGCTTATTTCAACCGCCTCCAAGTGTGGTTGACAATCCGCCGACTGCTGATCAGGTGGAAACCTTCTGGAAGAGTATTTACGAAGTGAGGCATCCATTCAACAGAGATACTCCAGCCCTGGCGCAGTTCGGTACCTTCTGCGGAAGATACCGAGAGCCTGAGCCCGAATTACTGCGCCAACCGATAACCACTGAGGAGGTTCGAGAAGCCCTGAAAGGCTCCAAGAACTTTGCTGCTCCTGGTCCCGACGGGATCAATAACTTCTGGTGGAAAAAGTTTCCCTCTACCCACCACCATTTAGCCAGGATATTCAATAGCTGGCTGAATGGGGAGCAGCAAATCCCTGAGTGGTTTATCGAGGGGCGAACCGTGCTTCTCCCTAAGACTGGAGATTTGTCCAATCCGAAGAATTACAGACCAATTACCTGCCTGAATGCATGTTACAAGTTGTTTACACGCATCTTGTACATGCGAGTACTCCTAGTAGTTGATCCGGTTTACCAACGGATTTCTGAGCAGCGTGGGTCGAAGAGAGGTGTCGCTGGCTGCAAGGAGAACCTGTTGATAGATAGATCTATTACACAGGACTCTGTGCAGTACAAGCGGAATCTTTCTGTGGCCTGGATCGATTACCGAAAAGCATTTGACACAACGTCACATGAGTTACTCGTGTACTTGCTCAAATGTCTTTCGGTACCCGATTCTATAGTGAGATGCATAGAACAACTGATGCTGGTCTGGAAGACCCGCTTTACTATAACATCAGGTAATGCGAGAGTTCAGACAGAGCCAGTCATCATAAGGAGAGGAGTATTTCAAGGGGACTCCCTTAGCCCTCTCCTATTCTGCATCTCACTTCTGCCACTATCCGTTGAGCTCCGCAAAACCAGAGGATACAACTGCGGCCCACCCAGTTACCGGAGGCATAAAGTCACCCACTTATTCTATGTGGATGACCTCAAACTTTATGCCTCTGGTGAGAGGGATATGGACCAATCCCTCAGGGTGGTGCAGGAGTACACGCAGGCAATTGGAATGGAATTCGGGATGGACAAATGTGCACTGGTTCATCTCAAGAGAGGACGATGCGAGAACTACGACAAGGACGCGCAGCTCGTGGACGGAAGCATCCTACACCACCTGGATGCCGGAGAGACGTACACCTACCTGGGTGTAGAGGAAACTCACATCCAGGAGGCACAACGGGTAAAAGACGCTCTCCGCAGCAAGTATCGGCAGCGGCTCCGACAGATCTGGTCGTCAGAACTGTCGGGGAAGAACAAAGTCGCTGCGACTAACATGCTTGCTGTTCCGATCCTACTTTACTCATTTGGAGTGATAAAGTGGACTCAAGTCGAGCTGCGACAACTTGACGTAAGTACTCGCAAGATGATGCATCTCCATAGGAGTCTGCATCCAAATTCGTCCGTTCCACGGTTGTACATACCTAGAGACCAGGGTGGCCGTGGACTCTTGAGCTTGGAGTATCTCCATAACAGAATGGTTCTGGATGGCGCCTGCAAAGTCATCAGGAGTTCGGATCCCCTTCTGCAAATGGTTAAAACCCATGAAGAGGCAGGAGTAGGAGCTTTTCTTTTCAGGGCAGCACGTCGAGCAGCCGATGAATTGTCTCTGATTTTCGACTCCGAGCGCGAGGCTCAGGACTCAATTACTGAGCTAGAACCCGCTCGGAGAAAAGCCCGCATCAAAGCTGCAGAAGTAAAAAAGCTTCTGCAGCTTCACATGGATAAGCCCATGCATTCGGTCTACTTCAAGACCATTGAAGACCGGGGCTTATCCAAAGAACTGACTTTCGCTTTTCTTAAGTCAGGCGGGCTTAAATCGGAAACAGAGGGGTTCATCATGGCATGCCAGGATGGGGTTTTCAACACTCTCGTCTACCGTAGCCGTGTCATGGGTATGGAGGTCCCTGACACAAATTGCAGGGCCTGCCGCAGGGCGCCCGAGACAATTATGCACCTGCTGTCTTCTTGCACGGTGTATGCAGTCTCGGCCTATATCCATAGACACAATGCGGCATTGCGAGTGCTTTATTATCACTTGAGGCACTCGTACGGAATAGACGAGACCCCAGTGCTGCCCTATGCTCCGGGAGATATTGAGTCCGTTGTGGAGAATGAG